CCTCACCGCTTTTTCACGAAGACCCACGCACTGAAGCCTTTCGCAGGTCTCTGAGTGCCGCCTCGCTGCCCTTTGAGCAGCGGTGGGTGGGGGCTACTTGGAGTGGCCGAGCCCAGCGGCATCCAGGTCTCCTGTGGCCCAGCTTCCTCCACGAGCCCCCGACAAAGCCGAGTGGATGATGCGGGAGAGAACGCTGCAAGTGGGAGGGAGTGGTCTGGACTCACACGGGACTTACACTGAAACCTTTGAAGCATCCCAAGAAGAAACCCAGATTTGAATCAGACATCAAGAGTCAGGAACACAGTAGGACTTCTCAACAAGGTCCCAGTCCCTGGAGGAAGACAAGGGCCACAGAGAACGTGACAGCCGCTCGAGGCTGAGGTGGCGACGCTGCCGGTGGAAGGCTCCCTGCTGAGGGCGGCCTGGGCCAGCTGGCCCGGAGCGTCCTCCCCTGCCCGGCCTTGGCGCTGCTGCCGGCTTCCCCTCGGTCAGGGCTTGGAACACAGGCTCAGCCTGGGTGGGTGCCTCCCGGGTTCGTCTCTTCCTCCTAAAACACTTAAAACCAGTATTTTCTCTGCTCCCAGTGGTTTCTCGTTCCATCGTCCTCATTTTAACATTCTTCCCCCCCCCCGCACCCCGTCCCCAAAGCTTAACCGGTGAGGCAGGCCTTCCTGTCTCACGTCCATCACCTCCATCTCAAACCCAGTTAGTGGTCCGGGAGTGTTCATCCTTCCCTTAGAGGCTCATCTGGAAGAGCTTGTTCCTGACTCGTCTGCTCCCAGCCTACAGACAGGTTCCATGTCTCTCGACAAACAGCCTCATCACCCATTAATCAGGAGACTGAAACCCACACTGCAGCCCCTGGGGTTCAGCCTGTTCTGCTGTCGAAGAATTGATTCGGTGGCACTTGGTGAAGAGGGTGAGACAGACTTCACTCAGGGGGGCCATGGCGGTAAGGGGAGGGACCTGAAATGGGGTCCCGAAGTGAGGTGGGCAGGCTGGACTCAACTCTCCACGCAGTGGGGGAATTTACGGCTGCAGTGCAGGGGTGGGGGAGTGGTTGGAAAACTGCTAAGAGAAAGCATAAGGGGTTGGGGGGTTCTCCGCAAAGGCAGGCCGGGGCGCTCAGGCATCCCCTGGGAGTTGGTGGAGGATGAAGAACCCCATCAGGTATCGGGGGAGGGGTTCTCGCTAAAATAGATTTTTATCATGAAGAGCACAGGTGAACCCAGAAGAAGGTTCCGTGGGCCCGGCGCAGGCTCTGGTCTTCTCTGGGGTTTGCCCTGAGATGGTACTAATTTTTCTCGTCCCCTCTGGCTCTGGGTGTGAACTCTGTCACATAGCTGCTCTGTAATGCTGTGCCGTGGGGCAGATGGCCTCTTCCTGGAACCAGCTTTCCTCTCAGGGAACAGAGGCATCTGTTTAGGACAATACCCAGCTAAGGGGTGAAAGGTGAGGCCCTCAAGGTTTGAAGGAAAGGAGACCCAAACCCAAACCAAAGCTCCAAATGACTGAAACAGTTCTGCACCCCAACAGAAAAGGCGTTTGGGAACAGAGAGAACTCGAGAAGAGCCTGGAGGGACAGAGCCAGGCGTGAAGTGGGGTGAAGGCAGGGCTGGAGCTGCCAGAAAGGGCTTCAGGGTATCTAAGAACCAGGAGAAGGCGAACACTCCGTCTTAAGTTGCATGCCTTGTAAACTGGCTCTGTCTCTCAAACCTTCCCGAGAACACACAGAAATGTCTTTTGTTCTCCTTCTTCCTTCGTTTTCAAATCAGAAGAATGAGCTACACCCAGGCTGGATTTGATGCTGAGGAGGGGATAGAGCAACTGAGAGATTGGAGCAGGGGACAAGGCAGGGACTGGTCTGCGGGGCCGTCAGTGGCCAGGACGAGCACGTGGAAGAAAGCTTGGGAGGGCGTGGGCCTGCCCCGCGCTGGCGAGGTGCCCAGAACACGGGGGCCGCAGGAGCGGCTTGCTCACAGACCCAGTTTCCATCGGCCTGGAATAACGATCGTTTCCCTTCTTAGAAAGCTTTGCCTGCTCCTCCTGCCTGAAGGCCAAGTCCACATAGTCCTGATCTTGGACGATGACCCTTTACAGCCTGGTCCCAGCTCACCGGCCAGCCTTTTCCTCTGAAATCCTCAGGAAGCACCTGCCCAGCCTCAGACCACATCCGATTCCTGGATGTTCCCAGAATGTCTCAGGCGGGACCTTTCCTGCCACACTTCCAAGGCAGGTTAGCGCTCACCAGCCTTGGGGGCCTGGTGACCGCTCCTCCCCCGACCCCATCCCCCAGCCCCGCACAACTTCCCGGTCCAGTGCCCCCCCCACCCCACATCCACCGTGTGGGTGCTCCCATGACGCTCTCAGCGGGCAGCAAGGGGCAGCATGACTCGCTACCACGAGGTCTCCCCCGGGGAATGTAACAACCAGGGGCCCTGGTCCCCTAAACCTCGGTGCCCTGCCCCCACTGGCTGATGCTCAGGCAGCGTCTGCTGAGTGGAGCTGTCTAGGAGGAGAGGGTGAGAATGTTTTCACCCAAGGACATGGAGAACTGCCTCCAGCATCGGGAGGGCAGGGACATCAACTATGGCTGCAGCCTCCCCTCGACTCCTTTTCATCCAACTCCCAGTATAAATAGCTTCCTCTCCCCGTATCAGAAAACATCTGCTCCCACTAGCTGCCCAGTCCTGTACCAGCACTATAAATAGACTGGCTGGACCTGGCCGGTCTTGGCACTGGGGCCCGAGGACTTGGAAAGAGTGAACGATGGCGAGATGAGGGCGGTGGGAGCGAAGCAGCAGAAATTGCCCAATCTCCCTCTTCATGCGGGAACACCCCATGGTACTCCTGGGAATTGGGCAGAGATGGGTCAAGGTCAGCTACTCCTGGTCTGGTGGTTTTCAACACACGGTCTGGTGCAAAGACCCAGCTTGTCTCTCACTGGCTGAGGTTGAGGCGCAGCTTGGACCTCAGTGTGAGGCAAGCTTCCTAGTGCCAGCAGGATTCCAGCAGGACTCCTGCAGGGTGGGAAAGGACGCGGCTTTGAAAGGAGCTGCGTTCCATACGCATCTGAAAAGGAATCATGTAATTCTATGCTCCTGGAAGCTACTTGGTACTTAATAAACCCAAGGCCTGCATTCCCACAGTGCTGTGCTCTGGAGCCCGCACAGATTTCCAAGGAGGGAAAGAGGAGTTTAGTGTTTGGGAGAAGGGACCTGGGAAATATTCAGGTTCAGTCTGCAAACACCGGCTGCAGGCATTGCACACGGTGCTTGGGAAACCAGGGTGGCGCAGACGGGGTCTGTGGGTAACCGGAGAGCCGCACGCTCACGGTCTAGGGCCGGTTCCATGCTCCCTGGGGGCTGCTTTCTGCTCTGGCTCCTGGTGGGGTCTCCGGCAGCTCCGTGACCTTCCAGCGCTGCTGGACCACGCGTCCTCCGGTCGGTTCGAGTCTACGGGGTTCATTGAAGTTACATTTCTCCCCAACCAGCTGGGCTACTCCCAGCCAGAGGCCTGTGGTGGAAAACGGAAGAGGGACCCTTCTTGCAGCATCCTCTGTGCCTGCATTTTCCAGAGAGACAGAACTGGTAGCCTCACATCTATATTTACTAGAAAGAACTGGCCTGCAGAGATCATGGAGGTGGTGAAGGCCCGGACTCGCAGTCGGCAAGCAGCACACCCTGGAGAACTGACGGTGTGAGCTTCAGCCTGAGTCCGAGTCCAAAGGCAGGAGACCGATGTCCCAGCTTGGACACTCAGGCAGAGAGAATTCTTTCTTACTCAGCCTTCCGTGGGCTGGATGAGGCCCGCTCCCCTTGGCGGACCATCAGCTTTACTCAGTCTACTGACTCAAGTGCTACTCTGCTTCAGAAACACCCCCACAGACACACCAGAAGGAAGTTTGGCCCAATATCTAGGCACCCCGTGGCCCAGTCAAGCTGACACATAAAATTAACCCTCACTCTCAGTTTCCCCACATTTCCTGGCTACCCTCCTCCCTCCCGCTCACTGGGTGGCCTCGGGCCCTCCAGGTAAAGTGGTAGGTGGGCACTCCTGTAATCAACCTTTGCTTCCTCTGGCCCCAGAAAATATTTAAAGCTGACTTTTTCTCCTGGGAGGGGCTTTGGGGTTCCTTAGACTCCCCTGGAGCTGGGGGATGGCTAAGCTGTGGTTCCTGGGGGGAAGGAGGACATCGACAGCTGCTGCCTTAGCCTCTGTGCTCAGCCCCTCTCTCCTGGCAGCCCTGCGGGGACAGCTCTTCCTCGTGGCCCAGGTCTGGTCACTGGGAAAACACCAGGGGGCGAGACTGTACCAACTCTACAGCCACCTCTCCTTGTCTGACTCTCAGATTTCTTCTTCTTTTAAAGAGAGAGAGAGTGGGGAAGGGAGGGAGAAAGAGAGGGAAAGAAAAATCTACGTGAGAGAGAAACATCGATCGGTTGCCTCTTGTATGTGGTCCAACAGGGGACAGAACCTGCAACCCAGGCACGTGCCCTGACCAGCAGCGGAACCAGGGATCTTTCTATTTGCATGATGCGAAGCCCAACCAATCAAGCCACACCACCCAGGGCTGGGCTTCTTGCTTCTGAGATTTCTTGGGCATGTGACAGACACCAGTTCTGTGGTGCCGAAGCTCCTAGGTACATATGTCATGTCTCTGAGTGGCCTCCCTGAAGCCCTTACATGCCCCTCCTCTCATACAGAGTGGAGGTGACGTGCGCGTGTGGGAAGGGCCGTAGCACCCGACAGCTCTCTTTAAAGAAGCCATCTAATTTCCAGTCTCTCCCTCTTGGCCTAGCACGCCTCCAGCCTGCGGTGTGGGGCTGGGGCTCTCAGACAGCTCTTTGACCTGGTCTAGTGCCTCACTTTGGAACCCTGCAGTAGCTGGCACCTACCGGTTTGTTCTCTGCTTCGGGACCTTTGCCAGAATTGAAAGGGACTTGCTTTAAACATCTTGTTCCATTTGTATCTGCTGAGGTAAGTAGGCCAGAAGTTAGTTTCAATGACACAGTGTCTTCTTTGGTTTAATGCGGTTCCAGGCAGTTCCAATGTCCTACTATTGCCGTAGTTACACCCAGGGAAGAGAAGGTTGGCAGCTGGAATAACCTTCATGCACCAGGCTACTAGCAGCTGGGGATTAAAGGGTTGGTTGGTCACCTCATGGTCATCAATGGCTGCTGCAGCTCTGGGAATCATGCCCACCATCAAGGCAGGAAGAAGGGGAAGGGGCATGGCCAGTCCTGTCTGTCTCTTATAGAAGATGAGCCAGACCTTCCAGAGGGGCTCTAGAGGACATTTCTGCACGTGTGCCTCAACAGGACATGGCCAGGCACAGCTGGCTCCCACCCCCGACTGTGTGGAGGTGGGCACAGGATTAGGGGCTGGAAGCACCTATGGGTTAGTCACGGTGCCAGACAGGTCGTGTGTGTCCCACTGAGTGCCCACCTCAACCAAGATGGTGACTGTGCTCAGGAAAACCTTTCCCATCTCTGTTCTCTTCCTCCTCCTCCTCAAGCTACTGTGCAGCTGAGATGCTACATGTGTGCAAAGCAGGTTCTGTTCTCAAGGGGCTCATCCCAATTTTTGTGTAGTCCCTACGTGGCGAGACACGCAATCATTACGTTATTTTACTATCATTGCCCATGTTACAAGTCATGGTGGCACTTCAACCTTGGCTCGAGGAAATTCAGATGTCACCAAACGTCCTGAGTGCACCAGGATGGGTCTCCAGGCGTGAAAACGTGAATCAAACCACAGGACAGAAGAGAAAGATTCTTTGCAACTCCTGAAAAAAAAATTGGAATAGACTTAATATCTATTTTTCTTTTATGGGACATTTGGTTTGTAATAGGTTGTATGTACACCTTTCTAGATAGAATTGCTATATCAGCTATAAGGAGCTGAATTTCTGGTCTAAAGTTAGTTTTTTCCATCAGATTTCTTGAGGAGAATCAAATGACTTCCTGAAAGCAGGCTGGCCACACTTTCAGGCCAGCTGAATCCTTTTAATGTAAGTTACTACTTCAGTTCATGACATCTCATCCTTCAGGCCTAAACCAGCTTCAGAATCACCGGGCTCAGTGACGGAAGAATCTGGCCGACATGTGACAAGAGCCTTTTACAACCACAGTAACGAAAACAGCCTGGAACTGGCATAAAAACAGACACATAGATCAATGGAACCGAACAGAGAGCCCAGAAAGAAGCCCACCGCTCTGTGGTCAGTGAGTATTTGACAAAGGAGACGAAAGGATACAATGGGATAGAGACAGTCTATTCAGTAAATGGTGTTGGGAAAACTGGACAGGTCTGTGCGAACGGAAATGAAACTAGACCCCCTCTCACACCACACAGAAGAATCAACTCAAAACGGATCAGAGACTTAAATGTCAGACTGGAACCATAAAACTCCTAGAGGAAAACAGGCAGTAAAATCTCAAAATTTCTCTTAGTAATTTTTTTTGACATATCACCGCAGGCAAAGGAAATAAAACAATAAACAAATGGGACTACATTAAAATGAAAAGTTTTTGCACAGCAAAGGAAACCATCCACAAAATGAAAAGACAACCCACTGAATAGTAGAACATAATCTCCATCGGTACAACTGATAAAGGGTTAATATTTGAAATTTATAAAGAACTCAACACCAAAACCACAGACAACCTAATTTAAAAATGGGCTAAGGACCCGAAAAGACAATTCTCCAAAGAGAACATACAGACGGCCAATAGACCTATGGAAAGATGCTCAACATCACAAGTCATCAGAGAAATGCAAATGAAAACCACAATGAGGTAACACCTCCAGCCTGTGAGAATGGCTATTATCAGTAAATCAATAATCACCAAGTGTTGGTGAGGCTGTGAGAAAGGGACCCTTGTGCACTGTTGGTGGGAATGCAGATTGGTGCAGCCACTGTGGAAAGCAGTATGGAATTTCATCCAATAATTAAAAACAGAACTGCCTTATAACCCAGTGGTTCCACTTCTGGGAATATAGCTGAAGAAACCTGAAACGCTAATTTGAAGACTATCTGCACCCCTATGTTCATTGCAGCATTATTTACAATCACCAAGATTTGGAAGCAGCCCAAGTGCCCATCGGTAGATGAGTGGATAAAAAGCTGTGGTACATGTACACAATGGAATACTACTTGGCTGTCAAAAAGGAAGAAAATTTTACCCTTTGCCACAACATGGATGGACCTGGACAGCATTATATTAAGTAGAATAAGCCAGTCAGAGGAAGACAAATACCACGTGATCTCTCTCATCTGTGGACTCTAATGAACAAAATGAACTGATGAACAAAAATAGAAGCCGAGGCATGGGCAGGTGGAACAGACGGACAGATCACAGAGGGTTGCGGCCTTGGGGGATGGGGTGCAAAAGGTGACGGGATTAAGCAAAGAAAAAACCCCTCACAGGCACAGACAGTATGGCGATGACCAGAGGGAAAGGGAGAGGTGGGGGCGGAAGAGGGCGAAGGGGGAGAAATGGTGACTGCAGATTTGATTGGGGGGATAAACACAATACAATACAATATGAATGAATGATGTGTTACCTGAATTGTATACCTGAAACCGATATAATTTTATCAAGCAATGTCACCCCGATAAAGTCAATAACAATGGGAAAAAAAGCTTTCCTGGAAGCTTACCCCCCCAAAGCTATTGATGATGACAATATCAGATGTATCCTTCCCTCTTAAATCAGGATAACCAACTAGAGGCAGGGGTTGGAGAAAATGGAGATTGGGGTGTCAGCATCATTATTTTCATAAAGCTGTTTGTGGGACATGGCTGAGGTGTGTGGGTGAGTGGGCTCGATCATGCTGTGCTCCTGAATTCAGAGTGGGAAGGGGGTCAGCCATGGCCGGTGGGCCAGTGCGTTAGGGCAGCCAGGCCATGGAGGGGCGGGGAGGATACTCTGAGCATGCCCAGTCCTGCCCTCCAGCCCGGCTGGGAAACTGGCTCCTCTTCTCTTGGGAGAGAAAGGGGTGAGGAGGAAGTAGAAGTGGGGAGGAGGAGATGCCAGGAGTGCACTCTAAGGAAATTGCTTTGCTGGGCAACCCAGGGGGCTGGGACTAAGTGTCTGTCTCCTCCCCACATTTGCAAGCCTCAAACATTACAAAGTACTGTTTGGGGCTCACTTTGTTCAGAGTGAACCGTACATGGTGCCCTTATCTATGTTCGGGGAACAGCTGGGTTTCTAGACTCTTTTTCTTTTTAATGGATCTCCCCACGCTGACTTCCTGTCAGTTCTTTGTGCCTCAGTTTCCTCTTTACAACCAGAAGGATAATAGCCTTCATATCTAGAACTTATCATAGAGATTGTTCTATTTAAGCCAAGTGTGCTTTTGTCTCACAGATTGTATAATACTAGCTATCAATAAGTTATATCATTCTATTAAAAACTCTGGTTTAAAAAAAAAACCCTCTGGTTTCTTAAGTACACAGGGTGGGGCAAAAGTAGGATTACAGTTGTTTGTATAGAAAATAACACAATCATTAAATAAATAATACAAGAATAAACTTTGCCAGTCACAACTGTAAACTACTTTGCCCCACCCTGTCCATCTAAATGGCTACACCAGGCAATGGAACTTTATTTAGTGATACAATGAAAGCTATGAAGACATACAGAGATGGGGGAGCCTCGGATGCACAAGAAGCCAACCTGGAAAGGCTGCCTGCCGCGTGATTTCAACCATTGCACATGGCAACCTGGACAGGCACAGGGACGGGGCTGGTAAACAGCCTGTGGCTGCCAGGGGGAGGGGGGAGTAGGGGGAGGGATTTTCGGGAAGTGGAACGACTCTGAGTGGTGTGGCGATGGGGGGCACATGCCCTCACACGTTCACCAAAAGCCCACAGGAGGCACGACACGGAGAGTGAGCCTGACATGCACGGACTGTGGGTGACGACACTGTACCAGCATCTACTTACCGACTGTGACGAATGTCCCCGGTGGTGGGAGTGCTCACAGTGGGGGGCTGTGTATGGGGGGGCAGGGGATAGATGGGAAGTCCCTGTACTTCCCCCTTAATTTTGCTATGAACCTAACACTGCTCTGAAAGATAAAGTCTATTTAAAATAGATATGAAGACAGTTCGTGAGCGGCCCAGGTCTGTTTATTCTCAGAAGCCCGGCCCATTTCATTCCCAAGGTCTGTCAACAAATCTTTCCTCTGCACTTGAAATGGACATCGTGGCAGGTGGAGGGGGACCGGCACCCATCTTCTTGCAGAAAAGACGTTTATTCGGGCAGCTCCGCCCACCTCCCTCCAGGCTCCCTGTGCCCCACCACGCACACGGAACAGCACCTGCTCTGCGGTGTGCACCGTCCCTTCAACACTGGAGTCTTATTTAGTCTGGAAACTCTCAGAGGAAATATCCGCTTGCACGTGAAAAATCTCTGGAATTTCTCTGTTCCTCTCTGTCCGACGTCCCTGTATCTGTGAGACAAACTCGAACAGCTTCTGTACACAGGCGCTGCCGTGTTCGGGGCTGGCTGCCGTGGGCCTGGCTCCGGTGCACTTGTCCCTGCGCCACCACGCGGAGCTGCTCCTGTCCCTCTGACGTCCCTCTGACGACGGCTCTGCCCAGGAGGAAGAGGAGGAGGAGGACGCCTTGAGAGTCAGAACGGAGAAGTTTCACACAATCGGGGAGACGGGAACGACAGCCAGTCTGGAACCCCAGCCCCTGAGCAGCTGAGCCCCACCATGGCTCACTCCATAATTAAGGCACGGGAGATTCTGGACCTAGATGACAATGGACGGCTCAGTTCCTGACACCGTCTTCCTCTTCCTCTTGCTCAGATTGCTTTTGCTGCACATCCTTCCATCTCCCTGCTGTCAGTCTTTCTCATCCCTTCTAAATTCTCTCTCTCCCTCTCTTTTCTCTCGTCCCTCCCACCCCCAAACCCCCGACTTGGACAGATCTGGAGCTCATTCAGATAAGGTGCCCTGGGACCCGGTGTATCCAAGGGCCTTCCTGGTGAGATCTGTGAAGGCATCGAAGACTGGGTCTGGCTTCACCTTCTCTTAAACACACAGACAGGGATACTCCCCTTCTTCCCCATCTCTGGGCCCCTCTCTGCCCTCTCTGCTCCTGAGTCCCCAGCAGTGTTTCCAGGACTGAACCGGTTTCGGCAGCGAAGGCGAAAGACCACCCCTTCCCAGGCCCTTCTGGGTGTCTTTCTCTTCGTGCCGGCGGGTTGGGTTGAAGCGGACTAACACGGCAAGGGGAAGGTGGAAAAGAAGCCGAGGGGCGGGGAGCACCCTCTGAAAAACAAGAAAGAGTCAAGTAGCAGGTGTGAAAGTTTTAAATAGAAGGCTGCTGACACTGCACTTGGAGGAGCCGGGGCTTTTCAGAAGAGTAACATTTAACTTCCAGACAGTTCCGGGACAGTCTCAACATCACATGAACCCACTGGAGCGGAGGCTGCAGCCCGTTCTGTCTGCGCATCTCAAATTCCAAGCTTCGAAGTTTATTTTCTAAGTTACATGCTAAACCTCTCACATTCCAACACACACACACACACACACACACACGACTGTTTTTCAAAATGCAGTCATACATGGGAATTTTATGACATCAAACCCTGAAAAATGTGGAAACTTTGGTTTCAAACTACTTAATGGGGAAAATAATAAACCTCTTGATTTGCAATTTCTTCGCTCTGCTTCTGGTTCGTTTCTGAAACAGGCCTGGCGCGGGGTCAGCAGACGGGGTTTCGGAGGCATAATCAAGTATTCATATAGGCCCGGTCTTGGCACTGCCGAGTGCGGTCTCTGATCTGGAAATATTTTCCCTTCAGACAGGAATAGAGAGGTTACTTTTGGGTCACTCCCAGTCTCACAAAAGGCTTTTCAAACTAGATGAAAGCAAAGCAGTTCTGATTTGTTAGGAGTAACCACTAAGCTTTCAAATTATAAAGGGGGGGCCGGCTGGCATGTCTCTGGGGTGGGGGGCTGGTGAGCACCCATGCCGGGCTGAGAAACACAGGGCTCCAGCCGGGCGGAGAAGGCAATGGAGGCCCCGCTTCCTCCAGGTGTCCCTTACACAGACTTTCCAGCCCGGCTGTTGGCTGCAGGCGCCGTCCCCCTTCCCGAGGCTTGAGCACCCGCGCTCTCTGGAAAGCCCGGAGAATGGCCGCCTGCCTGCGCAGCTGCCTCGCCCGCAGCTCTACCAGTTACATAGCTCACAACCGGGGAGAGTGACATTTCAGATGCACTTCCCCTTAGGCCAGTGGGCCCTGGCAGAGGGAACGCCTGCGTTCCTACGTCATAGAAGGCTCTGTCTTTCCACGACCCCACTTTCCTGTGTCAACAGATGCAGGGAAAGCAGCGTCCACAGAATCAACGGGGCAGTGAGGTGGAGGGACAGGCCAAGCATTCGTCTAAGTCCTCCAATTCCTCTGAGGAATTGACCGTTTCCTGGAGCTTAAAGAACTTAGTGCCTGAATGGACACTGAGTTCCTCAGTTGCTGCAGAAACTTTTGCAAAAACACCCAGTGCCTAGACCAGTGACTGGCATGCAGCGGCCACCCCACAAACCTTGCAGCGCAGATATGTTGAGCACCGCTCTGGACGTGGGGCTGGCACGGTGAGCAAGACTAGGAATTCCCTGCTCTCCTGGAGCTGGCATTCCCACGGGCGAGGCGGACAGGGAAGGAACAAGCAGTGTGTGCTGTCTTCTAGGGGACGTGAGCTTGGGGGAAATCAGACAAGGAACGGGGGATATGTGTGGAAGGACCCACTGCTTCTCGGGCACATAAGGGGAGGTCTCACTGCTTACTGGGCATGTGAGGAAGACCTAAAGGGAGAGGGGATGCCGTGGGGCTGACCTGCACGTGGCAGGTGGAGGGGACAGCGCGTGCCGAGGCCCTGAGGCAGGTGGATGTCTCGTGCATTTGAGCATCAGCAGAGCGGCCAGAGCAGCTGCAGCCGAGCGGGCCGAGTGCGCGGGCGATGAGGCCAGTGCGTGTGGAGGAGTGAACTTTGTTGAGAGTCCCGTCTTCAAAAACTTCCAGAAGCAAACTCGAGATAAATGACCATTTGGTGATAAGATGGTATGACTGTGGCAATGGTGCACAGAACAGGCCACCGAACTGATGGCCCAGCCCTGGTGTTGGTGTCATGGGAACAGGGAGGCAGCTCAGCGTCCTGGGTCGGAGGTGGGCTGTGCCCTCGAGGAAGCACGTAAGAGCAGCGACCTGAGCTGCCCTCGAGCGGGCTGTCTGGACCCTACAGGAGTGCTGACCCTCAGGTCGGGAGAGAGGTCCTGAGAGCTCCGGCCGCCACGCCCAGCCTTTAGATAAGAGGGAGTGCAGTCTTCACCCTAAAATGACCTCTGTTCAGGTCAAAGGAAGAGACCCCCCCCTCTGTGCACCCAGGGTGGTGTCCCCTCCACGTTGTTCCAGTCTCACGTCGGTGTCAGCAGCGCTGGGTTCATCGCTGTATTAGGGGCGAGAATGCGGCGCTTGGGGCCCACTCTGCCTGGTGGACGTTGAGGAAGAGGATGCTTTCTCCTTGAATTTGCCTTTGCATCCAGTTCTTAAACCACCTCTTCCTCCAGACTCACCCCCTCTGGGCATCATTAGGTGTGCGCGGCCCACAATTATTTGGGGATCCAAACCAAAGTGCCATCTCCGGGCTCCGGACGACTGGATCGCGGAGCTCGCCACCAGGGCCACTTCGGGCTTCACCCACATGCTGTCTGGTGCCAGCGTCTTCCCATAACAGCTGGGGCGCAAGTGGACAGGTCCGTGACAGCCGTGCCCCTCACTGCTTCTACAGTCATTTGGAGCTGAGCCCTCTCACTGCTGTGGGGAGCCACCTTCCCTCTCTGCCCTCAGCAGTTTCCCCGGCAACCTCCGAGAGCTTGGAGAACACCGCTCCATCAGTCTGCATTCTCGAAAAGGAGCGTTCTGAGTCCTTGGGAGCTTTGGGCTTGTTTTTACCAGTGGGGGCGTCGGCCCAGAGGACACGCCGGCCTGTGGGACAGTCACCTTCGGAGGTGGCTTCCAAGGCACCCTGAGTCATTCTCTCACCACACGAGTGGAGCCATCCTGGAATAAATAATTTAACAAAAACAAACCAACCTACCCCATTTCCTGGCAGTTCTGAAGCTGCTAAGGGGTGAGGTGTTGCAAGAGCAGGGGGCAGGCTGGGGAGTGAGTGCTGTTGGGCCGTGGGAAGCTTGGATGTGGCCTCACCACGCAAGGCTGCAGCCTGGCCTCCCTCCACCTCTGCAGGGAGGGGTGCGCAGGGGCCCCAGGGAGTGCCAGAGGCCGTGGCTCACCTGGGCGACGGTGAGAGGGCTGCCCTGGGAGTCCGACGACCCTGGTCAGATTCGAGTGGGAACCCTGTGTGCTGACCAGCAGCTCAGATTCCTTCACTGAAACCCCAGCTGTGCTGGGAACTGACCTCATTCATGAAGTAAACATTGAATCAGATACCAGCAGGCCTAGCCCTGGTGGAGTGGAAATAACATGGACGTTTCCATAATTATGCAGCTGCCAATTGGATTTGGCAAGAGAAACTCTAAATATGTCAATCGGAGTGAGTTCATTACCTTTCCTTGCCAACTCAATCAGAAGCCAATTGCCTTGTTGCGGTTGAAATTATTTGTATGAAAATGCTTTACTTACATTTTAGTTTTCATACTCCAGATAATGTACTGGAAAGCAGCGTAGTCTAGCAACTGGAAGACAACATTGGGAACCCGTTGACTGGCGCTCAGTCCTGGCCGGGCCTGGAGCGCGCCGTGTGCCAGCAGTTACCGCACTTGGCTTTGGAATCCTGTTATTGGGAGATGGGGCTGGAGAGCAGGGTCTGTCTCATGATCCGGGCTCAGCTGTGATCTTGGTCCTGGTGTTTGTGTTCCACTTCGTGGGCACAGTCACTCACTGTCAGCTTGCACAGGCCACACGAGAGCACCACCCAGAGGCTGCGCACCAAGGTCATGGGTCATTCCTGCCCTTGACTTCCCTTTTCCCCCTTGCTCGCTGCTCCTTCTTTTTCACTTGGGGGATGAAGGAGCCCATTCATTTACTCCACAGTCACCGAGACCACTGTTCACAATGCAGTGTCACCATTTTGGGAGAAGCACTTCCCAACGGCTGTTCCTTTCTTCTCGTCACTGACTTGTAGGACAGGAGAACTAAGTGGTGAGGCCGGAGTCCCGGGTCCCAACCCCAGCTCCCCACCACTGACAAGACGGGTGACCTGGGACCGGTCTCTCAGTCTCTTCTGTGCCTCGATCTCATCACTTCTGAAACAAGTGAAAACAGCACCCGTTCCACAGGGGCACCAGCCGTGCCGTATCCGGGGTTAATTCATGCGACCCACGCAGGGCGGCGCCTGCCCCAGAGAAGGGCCAACATCCGCCTTTAGGACCGCTGCTCTGGCCACCGCTGGCCTGCATGAGCGGGGACGGTCACACTGTGCCCAATTCAGTGCTGTGTTCACGGGGTGTGAATCAGCAGCTACATCCTGGGCATGCTGACAAAAAGCCAGGTGACTCAGTCACGACTGATTCACAATGTCACTTAAATCAGTCACCTAATTTCTTTTTTAGTTCCTGTGTATCTGTCACATGGAGTTAATGCTCAGTGTTCCTTCCTCAGAACCTCTTGTCTGAGTTTTACTAGTGAAGTTACTCAGAGAAAGGCGCCGTTGCGTCACTGTTCCATCCGAGGGTGACTCTGTTGGCGCTATGTCCTTTGTTACACGTGGAGATGAGCAACTGGACGTTCTTGTCACAGGCCCTTTGGGACTGTTTCTTCAGCTGAGGACGAGCGCAGCTGGCACTGGCCGGCCTCACAAAGACCTCCTTTTCCCTCAAACTGAGCCGTCTGCCCTGCTTCCTTTCGGCGCTGCCGCAGCTGTTCGCTAACCTGCCTCCTGACACCCCAGGCCCTCGGTCCGTGCTGGGCTGAGAGGAGCAAGCCCAGAGACTCACCCCTTTGTGGTACGAAAGCCCATTGACCCAGGATGACAGGACTGATGTGCGTCAGCAGGGAGCACCGAGCACAACTGGGGTCTCAGGGTACTTTGAGGAATCGTGGGGAATCGGGGTAAACGTCCTTAATTAAAATATATATATATGAATTGGATGAACTTAAGGCCAATGAACTTAGTTTGGATAATAGGCAAATTCTGGAGCCAAAAACTACATGAACGATTGATCGGTGTTTAGAAAGGATGATTATTAAGGTCAGTATTGATTCTCAAAGGGATGTCTTTGACTAGATTATAAGTCAGCTGAATCCTCCTTTTTCACAGTGCGATGCCTTTTGGCAACAGTGGGAGGGCTGCTCACGAAATCCTTACGAACAAAGCAGTGAATGCGGCACCTGCACGTTAAAGGCAGTACCACTTGCTCAAGGCCACGAAGCTCGTTAGTGCCAAGGCCGGAATCCACACTTGGCTCCCAGGCCAAGGCTCCGCCCACTGCATAGTGAGGTGCAACGTTAACAGCAGATGAGACAGTGGCATCCCAAGGCGCTTTCTAACGGCATGCCAAACAGTTCTGTCCTTGGCCCTCCGCTCTTCAACATTCTATCAACAACGTGGATAAAGCCAAAGATAACTGCTTATCAACTGTGCAAATAACACGAGACTGGGAGGGAAGGCCAATACGCTGGAATGACAGAGCCGGGATCCAAATGATCTCAACGGGAAAGAATGGCTGGTGGACTCCAACGAGATAAACTTAATTGGAATACATGTAAGGTCCTGCATGCAGCTCCAAAAGCTGATTGCAAAAGTATAGGATATAGTTGGGAAATGTGTCCAACCTCACCCATAATCAAAGAAATGCAAATGAAAGCAACCATGAGATAATTATTTTCCCCTATCAGATTGGCAGTGATTAAAAGAATAAAAATTCTCCACATTTGGTGGCTAAGGCGTGGGGAAATAGGCTCTCTTGTAAACCACTGTGGGCGTGTAAACAAAATTTCCCTTTCTGGAGGGTAATCTGGAAATATATAGCAAAAGCTATTAAAATGTACCATTTATCCCAGCAGTTTAATTCATAGAAATGTATCCAAAGACAAGCATGCAAAGGTTTATGTACAAGGATATTCACAAAGGCACTGTTAAGAAAATAACACTTTTGGAGTTGGGTGTTCACTCCGGAGCAGGAGACCTGGAGGCCTCAGAAGGGTGCCCTACAGCCATTGTCAAGGACTCGATGCCGTAAAGAGGAGGGATTGGGAAGGCCAGGACTTACAAGAGATAGATGTGGCCTAATAGTACAAAGCAAATTCTAACAACCAATTCTGTCCCAAATTAAAACGGGTGCCTTGTACATTCCCAATCACTGGCAGATGCACCCTGGCCCTCTGTCCGGGGTGTCAGAGGACAGTCGTCATTTGTCAGCCACTGGGGTGGAATGTTCACCTCGGTTCCTTCCAATGAGAAGGGGCGATGAGTCTTTGCTGCATTCAGTCATCGAAGGGCAGTCACCACTCAGGCTGCATGTGAGTGGGAGGTCACCCCAGCTTCCACTGCCTGACCCTGAATTCTGTGAATGAAATGTGAAAACTGCCTGCTGTCCAACACATCCCTTCCTTGAGAGCCGGTGGGAGAGGCCACCTCGCCTCATCCTAAATCTTTTAGGAATACCTGCTGTGTATCAGTTCCCCAAAGGTAACCCAAAGGGAAGCTCCTAGCTGGGCCTGAAGAAAAGAAATAAAGACCAGCGCTCCTCCTCACTAGATCGATTCTACTGTTTCAGTTCCCAGTAGACGGAGTTTGGGTAAGTGTCCAACGGCTCCATCTCCATCCTTTCTCATTTACACTAATTTCATCTAAAACTTTCAGTTTTATTCACGAATCACATCCACTTAAACTCTGTCTAGCACCCCCAAATGCAGAGATTCAGACTTGGGATGCTCATCCTTACTGAGTTCCTGCATTAGCTCACCACTTCGGCTTGTGAAATTCCTTTCTGGCCTCCTTTTCATTCAGTCTTCCCATCGACTGTATGCCGTGGGCATTACTGAAAATACCCAGAGTCGCCCTGACTGGTATGGCTCTGTGGGATGGGCATTGTCCTGTAAACCAAAAGGTCCCCCATTCCATTCCTGGTCAGGGCACATGCCTGGGTCGTGGGCCAGGTCCCCGGCTGGGTACGTGTGAGGCAACCGATCAATGTTTCTCTCGCACATTGATGTTTCTCTCCCTCCCCCCTCTCTAAAAATAAATAAATAAAGTTAAAAAGTACTCATAGCTAACACCCTGCTGAGCCCTACCTGTAAGACACTCACATGCAGTCTGCCGGGCAGTCTCACTATCACGGCTCTGGGGCTGGGAGCGGCCTCCTCCCAACCCACCCATGGTTGGTGTAATTTTTTCATGAGACAACTCATCACACCACTAACAGACCTAGGTGGCCGCCACAGCCCTGCACAGGCTGCTCCCCCAGACGCCCAAGGAATCTCCTACCAAGACCCCTCACTCTGAGCTCTGGCCACATGGGCCTGTCATTTCTTCCAACTTGTCAGTCCGTCTGGTCAGAGGGTTTCCACATGTATTCTTCCCTTTGCCTGAGAGGTTCTCCTGGTCCCATATCTCTGTCCTATGCATCATTTGGATCTTAATTAATACAAGGAGATGAACTGTGCTTCCCCCTCCCCACTTCCCAATTCGTATGTTGAAGTCCTAACCCCCAGTACCTCAGAATGTGACTGCAGCTGAAGACAGTGCTTTTAACGAGGTAATTCTGTTAGAACGATGCTATTAGTGTGGTTTCTCATCCAATCTGACAGGTGTCCTTACGAGAGATTACTATACCCAGAGAGATACCAGAGGTGAAAGTGCACACAGGAAAGACCAGGTGAGAGCTTAGTGAGAAGGTGGCCACCTGCAAGCCAAGGAGAGAGGCCTCAGGAGAAACCAAACTTGCAGTCACCTTGATCTTGGACTTCCCTCCAGGACCTTGAGAAAGTAAATTTCTATTGTTTAAGCCACCTAACCTGTTCCATATTTTGTGGCAGCCTAAAAGCTGACTAATAGAATTATGAAATGATTGCCTTGCCCTGGCTGGTGTGGCTCAGTGGATTGAGCGTCATCTTGTGAACTTCAAGGACGCTAGTTCAATTCCCAGTCAGGACACATGCCTAGGTTGCTGGCCTGGTCCCCCACTGGAGTCCTACAAGAGGTAACCAATCCCTGTGTCTCTTTCACGTTGATGTTTCTTTCCCTCTCTTTCTCCCTCCCTTCCCCCTCCCTGATACTAATTTTTTTTTATCGCCTCAAGAGAGATCTTTCCCAACCCTTTCCCCTTTGGTACTAATTGCTTGTCCTCTACCGCACTTATCATAATTTGTGTTTAATCATTTATTTGGATACTATATGGCTATTGTCAGGAACCCTTCTGCAGGATACAGACCTTGGGGGAGTGAGGAAACACAAGCATTTGGTTCTCTATGTCTCCAGCAACCAGCACAGTGTTTGCTGGTCACAGGGGGTGGTGTTTCATGTTGTTGAATGAAAGGCAGAAGTATTACTTCATTGATACTAAAAATGAGGAAATCGAGGCTCAGAACTTCCTAAAGGTCACAAAGCAGCTAAGTGACAAAAGGGGGACTGGAACCCGAACCCCTAAAGTACTGGCACAACCCTCCAGTTTTAAAACACATCCATTAACTCAGCAGATACTGGGCACCTGTCAGGTGCCAGCTTCTATCCAGGCATTGGGGATACAGCAATGATGAAAGAGACTAAACTGCTGCCTTTGTTCGGAGAAAAGACATCAAACAAGATTAAAAAAAAATAGATTACACTGTATATTAGGTGACAAATGCACAGGAGCCCAATGGGAACGTGGGATCAGGGAGTCAGATTTGTAATTTGAAGTCAAGAGGTTAGAGAAGGCCTTTTTGAGTAAGGAAAGTTTGAGCCCAGCCTAGAAGGAGGGGAGGGAGGGCGCCCTGGGGATATTTGAGGACAAGTTCCTTGCAGGGGTAAAAGCAAGTTCAGTGTCCCAGAGGCACAAGCCTGGCAAAGGGCTTACACGGCTGGAGTGAGGTGAGGGAGTCAAACTCAGAAGGGAGGCTCGGTGGGTTTCCGCAGGCTGGCGGTGCAAGGCATTTCTGGCCATGATAAAACTGTGTTTTACCCCATGGGAGGAGTCCTTGGAAGGTTCTGCACAGAGAAGCAATACATTTAAGTCTCACTGGGGCCTCCTGTCCTACGAGGAATCCGACCTAGGAAAACAGCTTGAAAGTTTCCTTTTCTTGGATAAGTTGCACTTTCAATATTTAGTATCTTAGTTCAAGAAACCCCTCAAATTGAGTTTTGGGCTCAGACTCTACCTTTGAGGGTTTCTGGGATTCGCCAGCCAGGACGGCACAAGGACGTCCGGGATGTCAGAGGGACCCACGCGGAGAGCAGTCCACAGGGGCTTTCGCGCGCTTCCGGAACCTCCACAGCGTCAGCTGACCAGCTCTCCTCCAATCCCGCCTCGGGGGCGGGGCCGGACACCTGGTCCCCACAACAAGGTCTTAGCCAGTCCCGCTCCGGGTTTCCGCACCGCGGGGGAGGCGCACTAGGATGACGTCACGCCCGGCGGCGCTTGAGTGATGTCAGCTTTGGCTTGGTCTTGGGCTCCGCACAGAGGGCTCTGCCGAGAGGGCTCTGCAGAGAGGGCTCCTCGGGCGGGCACGTATGAAAACGGGCACGGTCTTGGACATTGCGCATGTGTCACCTCAGGTTGGCGCGTGTGTGGCGTTTAAATACCAAGTCCTGAGCGTGCGCAACTACCTGCCAGCCTTCGCTGTCGCGCCTTCGGTCTTAGCCAGAGCCAACATCGGAGGTGGTACAGTTCCACCTGGTTTTCTGGGTGCAACATTGAGGGCAGATGTCCGAGAATCAGACTCTTCACTCACTTTGTCTCATTAGCCTCTTACCTACTCTGGTCCATTCCTCGCTGCATCCATAATGCACCTGCCAGTCTGAAAACGCCGTCTGAGATCCCGAATTGCTGTTGCCAGCAGATTTCCTCCATCCGATTATCTTCTTTCTCAACCAATGCTTATAAGATCAGCAGCCAACTTTTTTGCCCTATTTGTAAAGTGAAGGTAACCAGATTCCTGCTGAGGACCTGAGTTCTCTAAGTCAAGTACTTTAACTTGTAAGGACTCTAGACTTATGTTGACTGCTTGTGGTTCTCCTCTTTATTCACATGTTTAGCCAGGATCCAAACAGTCCGCCTGGCTAGTAAATGACCTCCAGGTAAATGAATTAATTGTCCTGAAATGTACAAGACCTGGGGGTACAATGATGATCACAGTTCCTCCATCAGTGATGGCTCATTTTGTTAATCCAAAAAATATCTATCAAACACCTGTGTGCTAGGCACCATTTAGATTATTACTCTTCATTGAAAAAATGAAGTGTCGTCTTCTAGGATCTAGCATTCTTCTAGGAGTCAGATTTGATTTTGAACCCCGGCTCTACCTTTTCCATACTGAGTGACCTTGGGTGAATTATGAACCCTCTGCATCTCAATTTCATGATTCATAAAAATGGGCAGAATTAATGCCTACCTCCTAAAGGTGACTGATGTGAGAGTTAAACCTCATGCCACGGTTCAGGGAGCCTTTTCTTTCCCCTTCCTGACATTTTTTTTCTTCTCAGTCCTTGTCTGTCCTGGGCCCTATACAGGGTAAAGCCACGAGTGGGAATACAGTCCTCTGACCAACACACAGCCTCAGAGATCATCAGCAGATCCTCTTTAAATTGTTTTAAAAACAGCTTTCATCCGGACACTGCTTTTTGTGGGTCTGTGTGCCAAGGCCACGTTATATTTAAGCAGAGCCCTCCCACTCATCCCCAAACAACCTCCTCTAAAACCACCCAAATTCAAAAGGAGAAAAAAAATCCCTTTCTTCAAGTGCGTGGTGACTTGAAGCTAAATATGAACTGGGTGTCGGAGGGCTGCCCGTGAGACGGGGTCAGCTCCTGGGTCACTGTCTGAGGAGGCTGAGGCCCTGCGAGGACTGGGGAGCGGGTGTCTGGCTGCTCTGTCGCCACAAGGCCTGTGGTTTCCAACCCTGTCTGCACGCTCGTCCCACGGAACAGCAGCGGGAGAGAAAACAGACGTGCGCACCGGCGGACGCACACACACACACACACACCCGGACTCGCACGGCCTGCAGAGGAAGTGGAGCACCAGATGTTCTGGGTTTCCTGTTCGGTGCTTCCACAGCTGGTCGAGTCTGTGGTTGTGGTTTGTCTGTCTCGGGCTCATGTGAGAGACAAAAGCTGGGCTGACGGGAAACCTCCCCTCGAGGCCCCCCTTCCTCAGCTCTAACTGATCAGCCACATGGAAGCCGGGCAGGTCAGACATTTCCTGAAACACCGGAGCTTGGATTCTCCCCGGAGGAGGCTGTTCCCCCCATCCTGGACAAGCAGCCCTTGGGCTGAGGGCAGCCCTCAAAGAACCCGGAGATGCTAGAAACCTCTCCAAATATATTATTAATACAGACCTCTATCCTTGCTGAGTAGAAGGAAGCTGAGGCCAGGTTGCCACAGTCCCTCACTCAGCACCTGGCCTAGGGCAGCCACTCAGAAACACTCAACCATGAAGGAATGAATGAAGGGCCGGAAGCTTCCACTTTGGGGGCTGGATCTCAAAGCCCTGGCTGGCCATTGCTCCTCACAAGGGCCTTTGGATTCAAACAGATGAGGGTTTGAAGTGGCATCGTGCTACTGATTTGCTGCAAGTAATTTAACCTCTCTGGGTCTGGTTTCCTTATCTGTGAAACGGGGAGAATAATATCTGTTTCTTTCTGACAAAGTCGTCAGGGCCCAATGACACACGTGAGTTTGTTTGATATGGAGTCTTACCCATAGTACCTGCTCAGCAAGTGCTGGTTTCCTTTTCTTCTTGCAACACTGTTGTTTATTTAAGGAGAGGTGTAAAAAAGCAGACAAGACAAAACAGCCAAAGCCCTGATCCCAGGACAACTGTCTGGTGGGGCAGTGGAGCAAGAGAGTTGGCATGTGCATTGGTGCCCATCATGGGGAGGGAGGCTAGGCCTATCCCAGGGTCTCTGGGAGGCAGCACCCAGTGTCTTTCTCTGGGTGCCAGGGAGATGGGGGTGTGGGGGGAGATGGGCAGAGTGCTCCCTCACCCCTTAGCTCAGCCATGGTGTTAATAACTATGGCCACTGTTCAGTCTGCACTTGGACCTGGGCAACAGGGACCCCTGCTCTGAGCCCCAGCCTTCGACAGGCTCCCTTGCAGCCCTCGTCCAGCCTGACCCCTCCCTATGAGATGAGGCATCCACAGCGAAACATAGCCATTGGAGTCATTGTCTCTGAAGTCCGACTGACAAGTGTCGGCTGTGTCGCTTTGAAGCTTTGCAGCCTGGGGTACGTTACTTTACCTGTCTGTGCCTCTGTTTCCTCATTTATAAAACGGGTAAAATGATAACCACATCATAGGGTGGTTGCAATGATTAAATGAGTAATATATATATAGCACTTAGAACAGCTGCCCGCCTGTGGTAAGGGACTGATAAATGTTACCTGTTAGAGGCACAAATGTGTTTGGATCTTACGACAACCTAACTACAGGTACATTGCTATTAAATCCATTTCACAGGCGAGAGAACTCAAGTTCAGAGACACGGAGTAACTTTTCCAAGTTCACACAGGTAGCAAGTGGTGAGGTTGAGACTTTTCTCAGTTTTCTCACTCTTTCTTGTGTGAGGTCTGAACCAGCTCCCCCAGCTGCACTTTTTCTTTTTCTCAGAGTCCACCCCCCACCCCAACCCCGACCTTGACCCCAGGATGCTCGGCCTCCTCCTGCACCTTCCAGTTGGATATGCACTTTTGGATCCAGGTTTTGACTCACGGTTTCCTGCAGAAACTTGCTTTGCAGAGCGGCTTCTTACAGGCAATTGTTTTTCCTGAGAATAACCTAAGACACTTCATGAGAAGATTTCAGGTGTTTCTGGGGCTATTCTGTTTTATCCCAAAGAAATGGTACTCTGGGTGAGTTTGACAGAACAGTCAGGCCAGGGAGACACACATTATCGATTTCGATGGGGAGGCGGTCCCCCCCCCCCGGCTCTGGCTCTGTCTGATGGAAGAGGCGGTCTCGCATGGTGCGAGCATTCTGGTGAGCACAGCTATTGTCCGAGAAGCTTTGCAAATGCAGATGCCAGGGCCCCCCCCCCCCCAGAGTCTGTGAACTACATTTTGAGAAATACTGATATCGTGTCAAGAGACACAAGCCCCAGGTTCAAGTCCTGTAGTCACCTGTGTGATCTTGGCAGGACATTAAATCTGTCTGAGCTTCAATGCTCTTGTCTGTAAAATAGGAACGAGGCCTATCTCACTAGCTCCATGGCCTGTTCAATGCCTTAGAATGTGAGAAAGGACCATCCTCACGGCAGTGGTCAACCGAGTGCTGGCAAGAGAGTCAAAGGAAGGCAGAGACCCAGGCCCAAGGCTCGGAGAAGTTCCTGAAATCTTTGGTGAGACGGGGAACCATGGGACCCCTGGCTGTTCACGCATAAGCATTCCTTTGGCTGAAGGCTGATGGCCAGAGGGGGTGTGGGTGTCATGTGCCACCTTCTCTACACACTGATGTCTCTGTAAACGACATGGCGAAGTATCCAGAGTGTTCCAGGAGCTTGACTCAGTCAGGGCAGGCCACGTAATGCTGCAGTAACCATCAGTCCTGGGTCTTGGTGCCTGAACACAGGAAGAGTTTATTCCCCCCCCCCCCCCCCCCCGTGCTGTTGGACCCAGCCAGCTGGTGGGCAGCCCTGTTCCACAGACTCACTCAGGGACCCAGGCAGGCAGAAGCTCCCCATGGTGGCCGCACCATCGGCAGCCCCTCCATAGTCACAGGGGCCCGAGGGAGGCTCAGGAATGGGCTTTTCACTGCCTCTGCCTGGCAATGACATGCCTCGCTTGTGTTCGATTTCATTGGCTAAAACAGGGCACACAGCACAGCTGGGACATGTAGGGGAGCAAATGGCATATTTGGTGAGCTGGCGGTTTCTGTCCCCGGATGTCTGCGAGAGGAGGGAGATCCGACGACTCCTGGTCCAGATTTCCAGCTTGGGCACCAGGACCGAGGTCTCTTAGACAGAAGAGGAAGGAACACTCCTCGGCTGAGCGGCTCTCGCCTCCTACAATCTGAGCAGCTCAGCTTTCTGTCTGGGGGCGTGGAGTTTCATTTGTTTGAGAATGTGGGTTTTCCCCCTACTTTTTCCTCATCTTTGCCTACCCTCAAAACATGGAAGAGAAGCGGCCTGCCTCAAGCAGCCAGCAGCCTGGCCCAGGCTCCCGAGGATGGAGAGGAGCCATTTCCCAGCTGGCCAAGAAATGGCCCAGGGACTCCCCGGGTCCCGGGGGCGTGGGGCGTGAGGCTGACTCGCCCCAGCGAGGAGGCGGAGTTCCCGGCAGACTCCCCGCTAGTCCTAGCGCTCCGTGCAGAGCCCAGCCGAAAGCAACCCAGATACCTTCAGAAATGGAGAACGCTGGCCTGGA